TGGACCATAAAGGAAGGTCACATCGCCCAGAGGAACTTTGTGGTGAGTGGACCAAACCTGCCATGACATGGATGCTTTGCCGGCTTACACCGGAGAATGGGGCTCGATGCAAACTCCGAGGCTAGGAAGTAGCATCAAAGCCATCGAAATGCCGCTCCCACGCCAAGGCCTGCATGATGCTCGCCAGTGGCCTAGAAAGGCGCCTGGCGGCGATCGCAAGTTGAACGTGATGCGCCACAGGTGCTGTAGCAGCTCGGAGCATGCGATTTCGGAAATCTTGCCAGCTTGGCATGTTGATGAACAGAAGCTCCGCACTGTCGAAGCCGTACACCCTCACCGATGCCCTTCTCCTTGAACTACGATACGATACTGGGCACTGCAATCAGCACAGTCAAAGCTCTGGGCCCGCTGCTGGTCGGTCTCCTACAAAGCAAAGCGGTGAAAAGGAGAGATGCCGCCAAAGGATTTCAGGGACCTTGCCTTCGCCTCGGTCGCCTCCTCCACCTGTAGGATGTCCTGCCCGATGGTTCCCGTGCACAAGAAGATGCAGGAGATGTAGGTTGCAGCAGTAAGGTGATGCCATGCTCGGGAATTCGCCAAGGGCAGGCATGGCTTTGTCGGCCGGGAGAAGTTGGTGAAGAAATCGTGAACCATGCTAGCCACACGCTGTTTCCCGAGCTGCGCGCCCGGTCCTAAGCCTCAAACTCTCTGCCAACCTTTGCATGGGAACAAGTACAAAATATATGTGAAATCCAGGATCCTTGTTGGAGTTTCAGACCCAGCAGGAAGAAACACGACAACCCAAAATCCGCCCCGACATGAACCTTAAGCTTCTGAGCCTTAGGAGTTTACGACACAAGGATTCCAGAATTCCAAACCCTACATATCCCCGCCCGTCACCCTTTCCCGTTCCCGGCCGCTGCTGACCTGCGTGTGACTCAGATGCTTAATGAAGCTATATAGACGTTAATTATACCAGGCTAAAATATGATCGAGTCACACGCCGGCCCCGCTGACCTGTGCTCCTCATCGCCCTTCAGCTCTCGCTTGTCCATGGCTGGAAAGTCGAGTCGCTGCCCGCGCAGCAGGACAAGTAGCTCGTTGTGCGTTGTAGAATCTTGTGATTTTTGCTTTGGGCCTGGTTACAAGCCAACTATCACCCCCCATCCCCACGCCAAGGGTTTGAAATCCGACGATGGTTGGTCGGCAGATAATGTAACAACCCGTAGCCTGAATGATTTGTCGCCAACTTCAACAGCGGGTGACCTCGCAAAGTCTCAAACCTCCTCTTCGTCTAAGGGACGGAAACCAACCGGCTTTGGTGGAGGAAGGAAAAACGATTCAACGTCAACAAGAGCATGACGGGTTGCAGAAGAGCTTGGCATCAGCAGCTGGGTCTCAGGCGGCACCACATCTTCTGCACGACGACATGATGGGGACTTCCCCAACGCCGGCCAAGAGGCCATCCGTGTCCTAGACGGAGGCATCTGCAGTAATGGCAACGAAAGCAAACATCAAGGTCTCGGATTACCGGCACCCCATGCGTCCTCCACGGCTCTTGCAGAAACTGTGACCTGAGACCAAAATGCGAAATGCGACTAGAAAAGCGGTCTGACGTGCAGTGAAAGGACGCTCCGCTGAACTGACTTGTGGGCTGACAATGTGGACTGTCTCAGGTGGCCACTCGGCCGGTGTCACCTTCACGAGGTCACTTGGAATTTTCACCTCAGTTCAAACTAAGGTTCCTTCGGCGAACTCCTGCCTCCTGCCAGTGCCAATTCCTGCCTGGCCCGAGCGACTCCGAGATGCATCTATGGCAAAACTTGCAGCTTATGCTAGGATTCTGTTCAGATTCCGACGGTTCTAGCTGCAAAAACTAAGCAACATGCTTGCATCGCCACGTGCACGTTCGTCTGAGACTGGCACGGGACCCACACTGCGCTACCGGAAGGCAGGAAGGACTCAAGTGAGCAGCTCCTGCTGCACCGTCGACAGCAGGGCCTTTTCGCATTCCATGTCTCGCACCTTAGGACAGTAGCTTCCCCCCAAGCGTCAATCAACCCATCCGTCCTACTCGGGCACTCGGGTAGCTGGACAAGTTTGAGGTCTCTGCTGTTTGCCCCGGCCCACGGCCCTGGCTGCACCCAGCGGTTACGACAGCTGGTGTTTCATGGTGCTCGTGGTTTGGGAGCTTTGGCGGTGATGCTGAGAATCTGACTTCCGCGAACGTCGTCATCAACAGGCCTGGCAGTTCAGGGTTGGGAGTTGCCGGGCATCATTTCGAAAATGTGGTGCAACCGCAAGGGAGCACGAACACTCTGGTGATGAAATTCTCGCTAAACTGTGCAGTAGAGGCATCAAAGTGCTGTTGCACAGTGGAGGTCGCATCCTCAAGATGGAAGTCTGCCCCAAACGCAACGTGGCGACAGTGTGGGCCTTGCAGGACGCGTCGCGTGCTCCTACATGTACGTCCCACGTCTGCTAAATCGCGTTCTCGCCACAAGGTGTCATGCGTAATTACTTTGGACAGTAAGCCGTGTTCGCGCCACAATGTGCAAGAAAAGGAGGGCGGCTAGGCAGTGCTTGGTGTGCAGGGGGCCCATGCAGAACTTCAAGAGTGAAGCTCTTACATGTCCGCTGCCCGCGCAGCAGGACAAGTAGCTCGTTGTGCGTTGTAGAATCTTGTGATTTTTGCTTTGGGCCTGGTTACAAGCCAACTATCACCCCCCCATTCCTACGCCTAGGGTTTGAAATCCGACGATGGTTGGTCGGCAGATAATGTAACAACCCGTAGCCTGAATGATTTGTCGCCAACTTCAACAGCGGGTGACCTCGCAAAGTCTCAAACCTCCTCTTCGTCTAAGGGACGGAAACCAACCGGCTTTGGTGGAGGAAGGAAAAACGATTCAACGTCAACAAGAGCATGACGGGTTGCAGAAGAGCTTGGCATCAGCAGCTGGGTCTCAGGCGGCACCACATCTTCTGCACGACGACATGATGGGGACTTCCCCAACGCCGGCCAAGAGGCCATCCGTGTCCTAGACGGAGGCATCTGCAGTAATGGCAACGAAAGCAAACATCAAGGTCTCGGATTACCGGCACCCCATGCGTCCTCCACGGCTCTTGCAGAAACTGTGACCTGAGACCCAAATGCGAAATGCGACTAGAAAAGCGGTCTGACGTGTGCCTGTCAGTTTGAGCCGGGCACCATTAGTGAAACGACCTGGGCAGTGAAAGGACGCTCCGCTGAACT